AAATGAGGAACAGTGCCATAGCCAAGGAGCAAGGCCGCACCCTGCTGCGTGCCTGCAGCCTTCAGGTCCTCAGTGCTGCCAGGGCACTTGTTTGTGTTGTGGGTTCACTGCTCAGCTCACAGTGCAGGAACCAAACACAGTCAGCCCCAGCTGCCCCGTGTCCGGGGTGGCAGAGAGGAGCTGCAGCCAGCTCAGGGTGGATCCAATGGGCACCCTCCAGTTCCCCAGCAGCACGCACGGCCTTGGGCTCTCATACACTGGTGAAGGAGACTTTCCTGCGAGCTCTGGCTGCCGGCTCCGCAGCCTTGCAGCAAACAGCAGCAGTGCAGCACGGTCGTTCCCTAATAAAGGCCTTGCAATGGGGACAGGGAGCCCTTCGGCGGCCCCGGGCTCCGCAGGCTGCGGCACCGCGAGGTCGCAACACCCGCAGTTCCCTGCTCGGCCTCCCTCCGAAAAGCCCTGACACAATGCGCGGCTCCGGGCCGCGCACAGCACAGGGCGCTCTCGTTCCCCGGGGCTTCCCGTGCACAGGGTGCACAGCCTCCATCCCCAGCACCCCGCGGCCACCGAGACCGCCAGCTCACCGATGCCCAGCAGCGTTGTCCAGAAGGCCAGGCCCAGCCCGGAGTACAGCAGCGCGAGCCCCGTCATGGCGGCGGCGGCAGCGCGGAGCGAAACCGAGCGGCACCGGCCAGGACCGAGCGCGTCACCTGACCCGCGCCGCACACGGGAGCGGAACCGCAGCGCCTCGGCGGAAAGCACGTGATGCTTCCGCGCGCGCTGATTGGCTGCTCACACTGACAGCTTGAAAGGAACTACAGAGACCAGAAGGCACCGCGACGGACGCCTCTTCCCATTGACTGCCCTTTCCTCCTTTCGTCCCATCGCGAAGAGCGGTTGGCTGCTCTCCGTCGGGGGCGGGATTTCCGGAAACTGAAAGGGGCGGTGCCGGCTTCCTATTGGCCGGCTACGCGCCGCACGTTGGGAGCGGGAGTAGGCATCCCGCAATATGGCGGCGGCCTTCAGCTCCGATGGGGAGGCCGTGCTGCGGCGGACGCTGGACCCGGCGGCAGCGTCCCCGATGGGAGACAAAGATGAATTTTACGAGGTGGACCGCGCCGCCGCCTTCGTGCGGGACGGCGGCTTCCATAAGGTGTGTGGAGGCGGCGGGGCGGGGACTGAGAGCCTCCTCTCCTCGTCTTCTCACCCTGTTCTCCCCTCAGGTCGCCCTGCAGTTCCCCGATGCACTGCTGGCGGATGCGGCGGCCGTGGCGGCCCGGATGGAGGAGGCGACGGGAGCCGAGATGTACGTGCTGGGAGACACCACGTATGGCAGGTGGGTGTCACGGGGAGGAGATCCCGCATAGCGCCCTTCGGTGGGCACTCAGTGTCTCCCACCGACGCCTCTGGGTCTCCCCGCAGCTGCTGCGTGGACGAAGTGGCCGCCGAGCACGCGAGCGCCGAGGCCGTGGTGCACTATGGCCCTGCCTGCCTCAGTCCCTGCAGAAAGCTGCCAGTGCTGCACGTCTTCGGGCGGCAGCCCTTGGATGTTGGGCGCTGCGCTGAAGTCTTCCGGGATCTCTATCCTGATCGGCACAGCCGTGTGGTGGTGCTGAGCGATGTGGTGTATGCCCACGCTATGGGTGAGTGCTGTGTGGGAGGAAGGGAAAGTTCTGAGGGTGCTCCCAGGTACCATCATTTCTGCCCTCTCCTCACCTCCAGTCCTGCTGACAAACTGGTGCTTACGTTCCATTCTTACTTTTCTCTCTCATTAGGTGAGTTGCAAAAGCAGCTGTGCCATGAGTACCCCAACATCATCTTCTCTCAGGTCGTGTATGGGGACCCCCCCAGCCCCACACTGCCTGGGGAAGTGAGGCAGTTTGGCCGCCGATTCCATATGGAGGCAGCAGAAGAGCTACAAGACTGTTCCATGTTCTATGTGGGAGCCGAGGGCCTAGCCCTCACCAGCTTTATGTTGACGTGGAACCGCTGCCCCTTCAGCTCCTTTGACCCTGCCACCGGGCATGGCCGCCGCGAGACCCTCAATGTCAACCGGGCGCTGATGCGGCGCCTCTACCTGGTGGAGCGGGCGCGGGATGCCCGTGTGGTGGGCATCTTGGTGGGCACCCTGGGTGTGGCAGGCTACCTGGATGTGCTGCAGCACCTCCGCCAGCTTGTGCGCAGGGCTGGTAAGCGCAGCTACACGCTCTGTGTGGGGAAGCCCAACCCTGCTAAGCTGGCTAACTTCCTGGAGGTGGACATCTTTGTGCTGGTGGCCTGTGCTCAGAACTCCCTGCTGGACTCCAGTGACTACTACCGGCCTATAGTGACCCCCTATGAGCTGGAGCTTGCCTGTAACCCAGCCCGGGAATGGACAGGGAACTACCTCACTGACTTCCGAGACCTGCTGCCAGGTAACAGCTGAAAATCAGCTGCCAATACCCTTCTGGAAAGTGTCTCCCTCTGCCAGGAGGTTGCCTTGACTTGGCATTGGGGAAGGAGAGACGCAAGCAGCAGTCTGACATTGTCTTTTCCTGGCAGGTGCCTGTGCCTACACTGAGCTCCCACCGGCAGTGCCTGCAGCAGAGGCCATTCCTGATGTCTCACTAATCACAGGGGAGATGCGTGCTGCCTACCTCTGTGACTCCCTGGCTCCTCAGCCACCCCCCAGCACCACTCTGGCCTGCAGGGACCAGACGCGGGCCCTGGCAGAGATCAGCCCTGCAGGTTTGTTTGGTTTTGTGGTGGGGGTGAGTACTTGCACAGGAGCAGTGCCACCTCCCTGCTCCCCAGAAACAGCTCCCTCTTTTTGTCTCCTCCCAGCCACCTTCCTGGAGTCCCGCAGCTGGCGGGGCCTGGAGCAGCAGCTGGGGAAGACAACCATCTCCAAGGCTGTGCAGGGCCGGCGAGGGATTGCCATTGCCTATGAGGATGAGGGCCGTGAACAGTCGTGATGTGGCAGCAACATTGGCTCTCAGCCAGGAGCAGAGGATGTGTAGGAGCCTGCATGCTGTTTATGTTAGACCTGAAAACGTCTCACAACGGTCCATAGCTGGCTCCAAGTAGGATGAGGAGCTGCTGCTGTCTGGCCCTGTGCTGAATATGGACTGCAGGGGGAAACAGGAGGTACATGGGTTTTTGGGAATGCCCACTGCACCCCTCTGCTTGCAGCCAGGGCAAGAAACAGGGTCAGGAAGGACAAGAAGCTTGGTCCAACTCTGGCTGACAAAGGTTCTGCACATTGCCTGGGCAGTAAGCTTTGTCCCTAGCAGGAGAGGTCACAGCTTCATGGGAGCTGGTAACACTGGTACTGGGGACTTGTATAGGTTACTGGTTTTAACTAAAGCTGAACTGAGAAGGAGTTGTGAGCGAATTGTCTTCTGGAATAAAGTGTAGGTTGAAGGGGATGTGCGGAGGTGATAGCTGGAATCCCAGAGCAAAAACATATCACAAAGCTCACCTTGGGATTGCAGCCTTGCACGCTAGCCAGTCTAAGAGAACAGGAAACTAAAATGAGCAGAGGCAAAAAGGTCACGCACATCCTCTGTGCTGCCAGAAGGCCCCTAAATGTGTGGAGGGAATGCAGTTCCCCTTGCAGGAGCATAACCCAGAGCTGCTCCATGCTGGACAGCAGAGCATGGCACACAGTAGAGACTCCCAGTTTTGCCATCCCTGCTCCAGCCAGAAGGGAACAGGAGCCTGTGAGGCATATCAACCTTAATGTAACCACCCCACACCCTCAGTTTGGCTCTTCCCCAAGTGCAGGTAACAGTGATGACAGCCACAGCATAGAAATATCCTTAATATAATTAGGTGTGGGGCCTCCCCCCTCCCAACCTCACACATACAAATGAGCAGGGGGCGAGCCCGCCTGCCCAGCCAGTCCCTGCTGTGCAGCCTCCCCTCCGCAGGGCCGTGCCGGGGAGGAGCGGGCAGCCTGGCTGCAGTGCAGCAAAGGGCAGTCTGTGCTGGGGCAGTCCTGTTCTGGGCCCCCCCTCCCCACCTCCTGCAGCCGGCATTCCCATCCCCTGTGAGGGGGGAGCATGCTGGGGGAACAAAGATGCTGACACCGAGATGCGGCCACCAAGTCTAGCTGGGGAGCGTCCCGAGTAGGTTAAGTCTAGGTGGAAGGTTATTCTATGAGCTGTACTGCAGCAGCAGGGCAGGGAAGACGGGGGCTTCCTGGTGGGGAAGAGCTGGTCCAGGCAAACCATCCGCATTCCTGGTTGGGTGCTCAATAGTCTGCTGTGTACTCTGTGCCATGCAGCCCTCGGCACAACAGCGTGAACTCCTTCACCATCTCCTTCACTCGCCGCTTGTTCACACGCTCTCTGCTAACACAGAGGGAGGGGACAGATGTGAGGCAGGTGGGAGGGACGGCAGTGCAAGATACTGCAGTTGCTGCAGCACAGCACTGGGGACACCAACCTAAGGATCTGCTGGCTGAAGGTCTCTTTCTGCTCAGGGCTGACGCGGGCTGAGGGAAAACCATCCTGCTGCATGGCCTCCTTGATCCAGATGCTTAGGTAGCTGAAGCAATGCTTGTTCAAGGCAAAGAGGATTTCTGCAAAGTGATCCATGAGGCTGCGGGAGGCCTGGCCACCGACACCCTGTACAGAGCACACAGATCCTGTTAAACCATGCACCAGGGGACTGAGCTGAGCTCAGTGCTTGCTGCCCCAGCATCACGCCCAGTGCACCCACCCATGCCAGCACCACTCACCTCCAGTACCGCCTGCAGCAGCACTTTGCCATTCTCATGTACCACCTGTCCCACAGGGGCGATCTCCCCGCAGCGTGGCAGCAGCTCTGTCTGCAACACAGCATCCAACCCAGTCAGTGCCAAAGCACTGCACAGCTGCTGCCCTGTGCAACTCGCAGCCCTGCTCCTGCTCTGCTTGGTGGGCTGTAGCCACTCTGTGTATCCCTACGATATGCAGTCCCAATGCATCTGAGGAAGCCAAGATACTCACAAAGAAGCCACAGGATGCTTTCACTGTTGGGGCTTCAGGGAACTTGAGGGAAAGGACACCTGCAGACACAAAGCACTCAGGTGAGTGGCCAGAGCTCTCAGACACCATCCCAAACCAGCACCGGTCCCCAGTCCCTGGCTGCTGTGTTCACAGAGCTGCAGGAGCAGCAGGCTGGACTCTGCACAGGGATGGTGAGCAGGTGCCTGTGTGTACCACGTGCCCACAGTACTCACCACACTGAAATACTGCCTTGACGTCCAGGTTGCTGCACAGGAAGAGGTCTGGCTTCCTTTTCAGAGCCTGCAAGGCACACAGACAGACAGAATAAACACAGCCCTGCAGCAGCAGCCAGGAAGGCTCCAAGGATCCAGGCGCCCCAGACAGCCTCTGCCTGGAGCACACTTACCTGGGCACATGCACGGTAACAGCAGATTCACACAGTACAGAAGGAAAACGGTCGCTTTTCTCCCCAAGAAAACACCAATCATACATCCAGGCCATTTGCATTTGGGGAGCTCTGACCCCAAGACATGAGGATAGATACTAAAGTGGTATATACACAAATGCTTCAGACGCAGACAGAGGCATCCTGTCCCAGAACAGGCAGAGGCAGTGCTCCTGGGACACAGGTGTCCCAGCATATAACAGCCCCTGCTGGCTTGGTCCTCTCACTGCCAGTGTTCATGAGGTCACAGCCATCAATTTCAATGACACACATTTTGTTTGACTCCAGCCTAGGCCAACAACTTGCTCTGCTCTTGCTGCAGGTCAGTAGAGGGAACGAGATGCTGAAACTGCTTGGCAATTCACAAGCAGCTGGTGTGAGACCAAAAACTTTGGGTTTATTCTGCCACTTGGTGAGCCCACCAGTTGCTGTGGCTTAGCTACTCCACCACGGCTGGGAACAACCTGAGCTCTGGCACAATGGGACCACTGCTGGGCTTGGTCCCTGCTATGCCAGAACAGGGCAGTACAGGACAAAAACATTTCAGCCTGTTCCTGCTGCTCCATGGTTGGGTTTCTGCTTGCTGTTGGCAGGCACAGGGGACGACAATCATACATCCTGTCCCACTGTCACTGCAACAGTGGGAACAGCAGCCACAGCTCTTCCCAAGAGTCTGAGAGCCAGGAGTGGAGTCTCTGTTCCATGGGCTGAGCTGCATGCTGCCCTCCAAACTTGTTCCACAGTGTAGAAGCATGGACAGCCATCAGCCAGCAGTGCTGAGTGCCATCTGTCCACAGCCACCCAGCCCCCCTGGAGCCAAACAGACTTATGTCCTCCTTCTCCTCTAGGGAAAACCCTTGGCTACTGACCCCTTGCAGGGAACATAACTGGACAGCAGGAAGCTTGGCAAGTTTCAGGGTTACCCCTTCTCCTTTCTGACTCTCTGTATCACACACTGCAAGAGATGAGACAGATTGGGTGCAAAAGGCATTGTATACCCAACAGAGGTGGTACAGCCACTGGGAACTGCTTGCCTGCTAGATGCAAGCAGTGGCCTTCGCTGGAGAGACAAGGGGCTGCATTATGCCTGTGTGTGTATATACAGCCTGTCCCACATGCTCACTGCAAGGACAGCCTGCTAGCTGGCTGCGCACCCGCTCCCTGCTCTGCTGCACTCTGCTCAGCCCCATACTGGACAAACACACACAAGATATGTTGTCATTTCAGTCCATTAAAGCCACCTGGCTGTCCCCAGCAGCATACTGCCAAGGATGCCTGGCTCTGGTGCCACCACGCAGTCATCAACTCCTCCATTCCGCAAAGCTGTTCAGCTGGCACAAGTCTTCCAACATGCTCAGGTTACCAAATCCACCTACCTGCATGGTGTTTCTCCTAGCCAGCCTGGCCTGCAGTAGCCAGAGGTGTCCAGGCACTCCTGTGGGCCCTCTGCAGCACCTGCTCCTGGCTTGGTGAGTACCATGAGTGAATGTGCTCTGATACAAGAGGACTCCTTCCTGCAGGACATCTCCACCAAGGGAGCACAGCATGTGAGCTCAATCCAGGCATATGTACACATCTAATGCAGACAGAGATGGAAACCTGCGGAGTTGCTCCACAAGGAAGCCACACTGGGTAGGCACAGCTACTTCTTCTCAGTAGAATCTCACTTCTTCATGGGGCTTCTCACAGCTCGTCTGTCCTCCATGTCTCTTGCCAGTGTGGCTCTGGGATGAGGACAGGTCTGCAGATGTTTCACACTGGAAACATCCCCCCTGTCCTCTGCAGTGGGTGCTGTGGAGGTAGGTCTTGCAGGCTGGACAGCATGGTTCTCCTCTGTGGAGCTGGGACACCCTGCAGAGAGGTCTGAAGAGCAGCTCTTCTGTACCTGGGGACATGGGAGGCCACCAAGCTCCACTCCTCCCACAGCCAAGGGATAGTATGTACTGCACAGCTGGTTCCTGCAGTGCTCCAGAGCACTCTCCTCACGTCCAGGACCAACATATCTTCCCTAAGTACACACCTGATAGAATAGAACCTCCAGCTTAGGAAGGAACACTGCCTCAGGAGGTAATAACCGTGCACAGGCAAGGAGGAGCTGGAGGACAGTGCATGGGCAGGCAAAGAAAGTCCCACATCTTCTGCCCAGCGAGGCACATTCTGCCCCTGGAGACACTGCCAGGGTGCTACGGAGGTCCACAATGGTGGTGAACTGCATGCCTTTGGGTGGAAGCACTGGCAGCCACTGGGGAGGTGAACTGGAGAGTGCTGTTCCCACAGCCTGTGGCACTGCCTCCAGCTAGCAGCTCCTGCTGGACATGGAAACTGCTCTGAGCCAAGAGCCAACATAAGCCATCATGGTTTGGAGATCGTGCAGCCTAGGAAGAGCCAGGCTGTGGTGTGCACTCCACCAAATCCTGTCTCAGGATGACCACAAGCATGCACAAGTGGTACCTCCTGGTTGGAAGCCAGGCAAGAACTCACAAACACATCACTGATGCTCCTCACTTCGTCCTGCACTCAGCCCGGCCACCCCAAAGGGTGCCAGACAGCTCAGCAAAGGCTTATGGAAGGCTGGTTAATTTATACTTAGTTATGAGTACTAAGAATAACTCCAGGGACTCCAGTATCCCTACGACATTTGATTTAAACCAGCATGGTCTTGTGATCTGCCAGACATAATCGGGAGCAGATCACAAATTAACACATTGGCAAAGTCATCAGCTGCACAAACTGGGCAGACTCGGGTTGCAGTTGAGCCCAGATAAATATGCCAAAAAGTCAGCTGAGATCTTAAGTCACACACTGACAGCTTCCTGCACACTCATGACTGAAGGCTCATGTGCAGGTATCAGAAGTATGAGCAAGCAGGAGACAAGGGGACACGTCCCTTTTCTTCGCAAGGCTGGCAAGATGGAAATAACTGGCTGGAACTCCAGTATCCACCTCATAAATTCACAAAAAAGACACAGAGTGATGCAAGACCTAGGGAGGACAGACTCTAGAAACAGCTTTATGAAAGCAGAACATGTTGGTGAGACTGGATGCACCTCTGCTATCAGGCATCCCCTGAAGTCCTGAGAGATTTCATTTCTTGCTTATCATTCTTGTCTTTCACAGTACCCTGCTGGGTGCTCAGCCCTGGGAGAGCCACAGACTCAGGGAGGGAAGGAAACCTTAGAAGGAGTCCCACATGTGAGTGGAGAGGAAGGGCATAGGGAGTTTTTGGTCTCTGTAAGGTTGTTGGAGTAAAAAGCCCAAGGAAACATGGGGTCTTGGTCTGCTGCTGGAGATGGTGGGCTGGCAGCATGATTGTCACCAGAAGGAGAAAGATCCCAAGCTAAAGAAAAACTCAATACCTCCCAAGGACACAGCAAACAACCTTGGAGGAGTCTCTCTTGGAGGGGTGCCTAGACCCTCACTCCCCAAGGCAGGATCACCTCTTGGTGCCCTCCAGGAGCAATGGGCTTACTGAGAATCCTGTAAGCCCTCCTACAGCAGCTCCCCAGGCGACCTGTCAGTGCTTCCCCTTGCTGTTAGCTACACCTCCTACCATCTAACCCAAATCCTTTTCCATGACCTCCTCCCATTACTGTTTGTTGCATTCAAAATAAACGAAGGGCTGTTTATCCATGCCTGTGGCCTTATGTTTTACACATCTGAGGACTCATGCATCTCCTCTAGTTTTCCTTCTCACCTTCTGCTGATCTTTCTGGATACCATTCCCTGTGTTCTCTAGTCTGGATCTACAGAAGTGTGGATCTACAGAAGCGTTGTGCTGGAGCTGAGGCCTCACCTGTCTGAGCAGCAGGGAAAGACATCTTCAGAAACCTCACATCCCATGCACCGAGCTTCAAATCCCATTCACCGATCCTCAAATAATGTTCAAAAACTTGTTAAAAGTCTCAAGACTGGTACCAGAAAAATATGCAAATGCTTCCTATGATCTAAATTATTTTATGTCTATTAACAGGAAAAGTGGGGAAGAAAATGCTACAGTATGGTTTGTGAGATGAGATTCACAAACGGGATCTGCAGTTCAAAGTGTGATGTATGGACACAGGTGGGTTGGTGATGAGCTGTCCCCTCACCAGCCCCAGGCCTGCTCCATTCTACAGGATGGGCACATGGCCAAGCAGCCATCAGAGGAGTCAGAGCAACAGCCTCACTCTGAAAACAAGCTGGACCCAGCCCAGCAGCCTGTCTTGGACAGTGGTCAGACACTGCATACCCTCAAGGAGTTTATCTCACATGAACTTAACATGCTTCACACAGTCAAATGTGGACACTATAGGAACGAAGCAGAAAGTGACTTTGCCAGCTCCCACTTCACTACCAGCAGCTCTTATAGGGGACATGACTTCAAGGACACCAGGCTCTGGAACACACAAGGCTCCTAATACCCCAAACAGGTGTATATACACACACGCAGCACAATGCAGACCCTGACTACCCACAGCCAGTAGCATCAGAAGTGCCACTGCTGCTTTGCCAAGCAAACAGGACTTCGCACCAGGAGCTCCACGCTGTAGCCCCATGGAGAGCCCCAGCACAGCTGCACAGCCACGGCCCCACAGACACTGTCCCCTTGCCATCACCCTTGCACCAAAGGGGACTGGCAAGCGACTCCTCCCGACACAAACCGTGGCTGCATGCCATCAAACTGGCGGCACAGGAGCTGCAACCACCACCCCGAAACGCTGCCAGGGCATGGTGGCACCCGGGCTCCTGGTGCCACCACAAGCAGGTTGCTCGTCCCGGCAGAAAAGATGGTCCAGAGCAGGACCTGGTGGCCACACAGCACAGTGCCAAGCTCAGTAAGGCTGCAGGAACAGCCAGCCAGGTCCGCCTGTCCCAGCTCTGCAGGATGCATCGCAGGGCAGGCAGATCAGTAGGACCACAACCCCTTTATGCTCTAATTTTCTGTCCCCCACTCCCCCCCAAGCATGACCGTGGCAGCAGCCCAAAGCCCCTGGAGCTGGCTTCTGCTGTGCCCCCAGGCCAGGCAAGGGGGTGGCAGCTGGGGGCTGCCCCGTGAAGGAGGGCACTGCCCTGGGGATGGTGCAAACCCAGAACTAAAGGAGAATGTTTTGTTTTCAACTTCCACGGAAACAGATGGAGAAACTCGATATTCAACTAAAAGGAAAAAAAAAACGTTGTCAACAGAAAGTTAAAAATAGGTTTAAATTGAATTAAAAAGAGAAAGAGAGAGAACAGAAAGTGAATGAATAAGAAACTAAAACACACCTGTGCCAGGAGTTGCATAAATGAATCAACAATATCAGGATGATCCCTGGGCCCTAAAATATAATAAAGATGTAACTTAAGAGAAAAATCATACAAACAGCAACTCAACATCATATAGTTATGTGATACAGAAAGAATTTACAAGTGAAAACAGGAGTGTAAGGGAGAAGGGGTGTGTAGGAGAGGGGATGGGCAACATGAGCAGCTTGAAGCAAGTTAAAGAAACAAAACATACAAAAAAATCATGAAACTTGGAGAACCCAAGAACAGAAAGAAACCGCAAAGGAAAGGGTCTGAAGCCCCAGGTTTTCCAGCTAGCACCTGGGTGCTGCAGAGCCAAGGAGGAGATCTTCGTGTCCTTGGGGAGGAAGAGGAGGAGCAGGGGCTAGCTGGGCACCATCTCCACAAGGAGAATTAGAGCTTTTGCATTGTGGGGACTGAGCGGGTGTCTTCAGAGCACCGTTTGGTCCTGGAAGATAACTGCAAGTGAACGACAACACCTCAGCAAATGCTCGGCAGGCCCAGCCGGGCTCAGGCGTGCACATGCTCGACATCAGCGCCAGCTGCACGGGAACCCCTGGCACAGCCACTCTCCCACCCCGTTACCCAATGCTCCTCGAGACTCACATCCAGAGACCAACCGGTGCCCAGAGGTGTCCATGCCAGCACCACTCGCCCTACCTTGCCATCTGACTCCCTGCATGGACACGTCTCAGCCCCTGCAGGCTCATGCCTCTCACCCTCTCCTGCCGTATGGAGAGGAGCCCAGGGGTGGGAGCGCAGCCTGGGGCACACAGCAGGCTGCCCTCCTCAACCTCTCCTCCTGCCAGTGTTCTTGTTGCTGCCCAAATGCAAGGCAGGAGGACCTGCACGAACACACACCCATGCCACTGGCAGAAGCAGGGACTTGAACTTGGGGTAAGCCTGGCTCACTCGTCACCCATTCAAGTGACACCGGAGTATGACAGGATGTGCTCAGAGCATGGTGTGCCAAGGAAGTGGGGGCCTCCAGCATTCCCCACTCTCTAGAGGGCTCTGAGCCCTGGGCTGGGGGAGGCATCGTGTTACCTACTGATAACGTGAGAAGCTCACGTAACTGGGATGTTGAAGGACCTAAGCCAGCAGCTCCAAAGGGCACTCATCCCTGTCACAGGGTGAGTCACCAGGAGGGTGGTTGGAGCTGCGGTGTGGAGGGGCCTGTCCTAACCCCGTTAACCTTTCATAGCAAGGAAGTAATGCAGGCAGCGAGCCAGACACGAGGCCCTGCCCTGAGTGAAAATACTGGACACAGCAGGGTCTGAAAAAGTTTTGCAGACGTTCATCCACATGGCTTGCTGCCTATGCAAGGCCTTGACTCCTGGCCACTATAAGCACCACTGGTCCATGGACAAACCCCAGGACCTTCTGGTAAACATGCAGCCAAGCGGGCCTGGGCTCCTGCTCTAGCCTGGAACACAGCGCCCAACCCTGGTGCAGCAGTGGGGCTGCCACCTGCATTGCCAGCCCCGCATTGGGGATCCCCATTTCCACTGCCCTGCAGGGAAGGAACCCACCTTCCAAGGGCTGGGATGAATCCAAGACAAAGAGATGGCCCCAATAGCTTAGCTAGGAGTGAGAACAGCCATTCCTGGAAAGACGCCTCCAGAATCCATGCATGCAACAGCCTGACAACAGCCCCAGCACAACAAGGAGTTAATCACACATACCTTGCTGGAAGAGGGTCAGCGTGACTGAGGTAACAAGCAAGAAGAGGGCCTTGATGGGGGGGAAGTGGGCAGGCTCGTGAGCAAAGATGTGAACCAGCTGCAAGAGACAATGGAGAAGGACTGAAGCTGCCCTGTACCCTTCCAGCTTTCCCTGGACCCTCAGCCCTGGCATGTCCACGTGGTCCTTACCTGTCGTGTCAGGTCGATGGCAGAGGCCTGGGGAATAGTGCTGTACATCTGCCCCAGCATCTCACACAGCTGGGGCACCATGGGAGCAAAGTCATCCAGGAGGGTCTTCACAGACTTCTCAAAGATGGCACAGACAGACTGAGGTGGGAGAAGAGAGACAGCATGAGCAACAGTGACGGAAGACCTCTACCTATGAGGCAGGGCTTGGCAGAGCAACAGGCATGGGGAACAGTCAGGAAGAGGGCTCATATCTGCTCTGGTAATGACACCCTGCTCTGCAGCACATGATGACAGAATCAAAGAAATGCTTGAGGTTGGAAAAGAATTCTGGAGGTCATCTGGTTCAACATCTCTGCCCAACCAGGGACACCTAGAGCAGACTGCACTGGATGCTCCACTGCTGCTCTCAGATATTGGGATAAGGCCTTCCCCCAGTGCCAGGAATGAGTTGCTTATCTGGACTTTACTGGGCTGAGTGAGATAGAGAAATGACAGCAGAGATGACACAGGTCCCAGGTCAGAGCAGAGCTCCTCTGCTAGGGAACACAAGCATTTGGTAGCCCCAGCTTTCATTCCTCTGCTGATGGCACAGCCTCTATAACTGGAGAAGAGTAGGGCTCACTGGGGAAAAAGATGGACAATAGCCAGATGATGCTGGTGGCAACAAGCAGCACTGGCCTGAATAACCCAGAAAGTGACCCCTATTACAAAGGGGTCTCATCACTCTGTTTCCATCCATTGCCATCCACTGTTCAGACAAGGGAAGGCACAGGCAGAGCAGTAACATGAGGATCCCGATTACCTCCACCACCTGGGCATCATTCAGCCACTTGCTCAGGACCTTCTGTATGAGCTGAAAGACCTGCTGCAGAACAACCACCACCTGGGAAGAATGAGAAAGATGAAAAGAATTGGTCTCAGAGCACTGGGGACAGGAGGTCCAGTGCTATCTATACACGGCCTGGATGCACCAACTACCACCTTCATGACACGCACTGCATTCTCCATTCACTCCCCTTACTGACTCTCCTGCCACCAGCCACCAACAGTGGGGCATATGACTTGGCAAAGAGCCTTGCTGTACTCACTGGGTTGGGTCCTTGCTGCACTGGCAGCTTCTTGACCTCAGTGCTTTCGTGGTCGTCGTCATGATGGCTGATATCCAGGGTGGTGAACAAGTTGGAGAGCAGCCCCAGAATGTGGATGATGGCCAGCTTGTTGGAGGGATTGGGCTGCCAGAGAAAATACAGGCAGAGTGTGACACAGACTGCATTGCTCAGCACTGGTCATGCCCCTGTGATCCTGAGGAGCAGCGTCTGCAGAAGCAAAGTGCTAGAGAGAAGCTCTCTGCAATGAGTCCTTGTCTTTCCTCTTTACCTCCTGGATGAACCAAGAGTCCTTCCACCCATCCTTCCTAGTAGAGAAATGCTGGAGGATGCTCACGAATGCCATCGCTCACTCCAACAGAGAGCAAGTCAAGACAGCCATCACTGGGGTGGCATGTAGGACATTACACAAAAGAGGACAACATAGGAACAAAGTGTGGGCCTCACCCTAGGGTGGCAGCTGCTGATCCAGACAACACACAGCTCGCAAGAGCCAAGGGGTGACGAGTAGCTGTAAGGGGCAAAAAGCCCACAACTCAGTCTGGTTAGTGGGATACTGCTTGTCACTTCTCTGCCTGTGTCGGGGTGAGGGGAAAGACTACCCATGTTCAGGAGTGCTGCTTTGACACACCACCCCAGGGACATAGCCAACAGAAGCATCCCTGCAGGAGGAAGGCAGCAGCACAAGGGCACTCACTGTTTCATCAGCCAGCTTCTCCAGCTGCTGGATGTAGGGAGTGATGAGGGAGTGCAGGTTCTTCAGGATCTCCTCCACTTGCAGCGCAGAGAGCAGGAAGCCAAGAGCCTGCATCAGCCACATGCACTGGCTTGTCTGGGTCAGAAAGAGACACAAGCAGCACGTCACTACCCTGCTGCTGGCACTGCTCTGAGACATCCCTGCCAGCACCACCCACTCTTTGCACAGAGCTGTCTCAGCCTCTGTGGAGTCAAGCATCCCCCCTTCTCCTGTTTGCAGGGGCCACATCCCCGTGCTCTCACTCCTCCTTTTTCTCTCCAAGACATGCCTGCAGCTGTATCCCTGTATCCCTGGAAGGAACTGCTAGAGTTACATCTCTGTGGGAGCTTCCCTCTTTGAGGATATACCCCTACAGCCCACATGCAGAGAAAGCCCTAAGATTAGCTGAGCAGTGGGTGGCTGCCAGCAGGTATTCCTGGCCACGCCAAGCTGGCTGCATTGCTGAGCTTTCCTCCAGGACAGCCTAACAAATGGTGGCATCCCTCACATATTCTCAGTGAGCACAACTAAAGGGCATGGAGTTGAGCAGAACAGCCAGGAGTATGAGAAAGTGCCTCTTACCTTGTGAATCTGCTTCATCAACACCTCCTACAAAAGGGAAAAGGAGAAAGAAAAAGGAGAATGAGTGCTGCAGAAAGCCTTCTCCCTTCCAGGGACAGGACTGAAACAGAAGACAACTAGCAGCAATTTGAGGACAAGCAGCATACAGCTACGCACAGGCAGGGAGCAAAATCCTCATCCTGCAGTAATCTCTTCCCCATGCACCTTGCTCAGCTGCCTGGGAGGGAAACCCTGAGATCAGGCAGGCTTTGCAGCAGGATGACTTGAGTAGGGCTTGGTTCTCCCAGCAGAAAGGAGCAGAGGACCCACCAGAATTAACCCTTCACTGACTTCAACAGCCAGGCTGCAACAGATGCAGGAAATGCTCTGTTAGATCAGGCCAGCAGGTCTTCTAACCTGGGGCTCTGTCTCCAGCAGTGGCAAAAGAAGTTTTCCTGAAGAAGGTGTGAAATAAAACCCTTTCTGCAGCCCTCTCCCCTTTTATTTGCCCAGTACCTACCATCTTGAGCTGTAAGCTCCTCGCTGTTTGCCCACAAGGGAAGGAAATAGTGTCCCCCAGGCTCAAGACCTCCCTGCTCCCATGCAGATCCAGCACCTCCCTCAAGCCCAGTTCACCTCCTAATGCCTCCTAAATGTCATGGGACTCTGAGCCCCATCTGTCCCAGATCTCAAAGCCAAGAAAGCCCACGGGACAACTGTGCATTCATAGGAGGACACTGGGTTCCTACTGTCCCAGGGACTGTACAGACAACAGCTCCCCACACCAAGCAAGATATCCTGAGCTGCTGCTTCACTCCCTCTAATCCAAACAGAGGAAAGGGCTGCCATAGAGCTGTCAGCTCCCAGCTCTCACCTGCGACACAGCCACGATGTTGGCGGCATACGGCGGCAGGTCATACTTGCACTCCCGACAGATCTTCTTCAGGGTGGAGACACTGGAGATGGAGAGCTCAGGGTTGCCCAGAGCCTGGAGCACCAGCGGCAGCACGTTGTTAATCATGACAGGGTGATCAGCCAGCCACTCTGAGAGGGCTCCTGTGCACACAGACAGGGTCAGACCACGTTGCAGCAGCCAGACCCTCGGTCCTCATACAGTGGGCTGCTCAGTTTGCTTTCTACTGTTGTGGAAAGAAGGATGGGCATGCAGGGGAGGCAGGGAGCTTGTGCAAAAGCAACCTTGGATGGATTCTTCCCACCCCAGCCTGCGCATGAGCAAGAGCCTCACCGATTGTGAACATGACTGTGTCGGCCAGCTGCACGTTGCTGATGCTGATACGGGGGATGAGGCCGATCAGCCCTGGCACCACATCAGAGTAGTTCACATCAATGGTCTCGGCGATGGACTGGAAACCATAAAGTAAGGCCTCCGTGTGCTGGGGTGAGGGAGAGAGACAGAGCCATTTGTTAGACCCCAGAGCCATCCCCTAGCCCCTGCCCTGGCACTTGCTCAGGAACCAGCAGCAGAGACCAAGGATGCTGGGAGAGGGGAGACAGTTGCACGGGCAGAGCCAATAGGCACACCAGGCTTCAGGACAGGGGACATGGCCCACCCCAGACCAGGGTGTCACCAGGATATAACAAGGCAGTATTTTAGCCACCAGAGTCTGATAGCAATGGCTAGCTGATGGGGATGCCAAGATGAACAGACACATGCCTACTAGCCTGTGGGACAGAGGACCCTGTGCTTCCCCTGCACTCACTCTGCTCCAGGCTCTGCATCATATCTCAGCATTGCACTCTGCAGGCACTGACAGCAAACTTGGGTACCCGACACAAGCCTCTCCTCTGGTCAAGGGCTCACGGTGACCGGCAGAGTGGCAATGCAGAAAGGATAGGAATCCAGCATTTCTGCTGTGCCACAGCGGCACAAGACACAGAGTGGTAAAGGACCAAGGTCAAACTCCAGCTTGCCTCTGGCTCTAAGGACAGGGATGCAAATGAAGAACCATTTCAACAGGCTCTTGAGAGCCTGCATGTCAAGGAGATCATATTTTTCATCTCTATTCACATTCCTTCTTGCTCTGTGGAAAGAACAGCCCCCTCTGATGATGCTCCCCATGGGGCAGGCAGCCAGCAGCCTGGTGCCCGACTTGCTCACCTGCCACGTGGATGGCTGCTCTGTGTTGGTCAGGAGACGACCCAATTTGTCATAGAGGCTGCTTAGGAGCTCAGCACCCAGCATCTCATACACGTACATCAACGTGTCAGAGATGTCCACCCTGTAGAGAACATGGAGGTTACCAAATGCTGCCCAAGCCCAGACATGCTACAACCCAAAGGCAGGTCTGTGCCCTGCTCCTGCTACCCAAATAAAGAAGGGCCTTGGCTGCAACCGCACCTGTATATCCGAAACTGCTCCTTCTCATCCGATGACCAGAAACCATACTCCTCATCGGAGGGGAACTGGGCTTTGTGCAGCAGCACATCCACCAGCTGGAAGTAGACAGGCCTGTACACCTGCTGGTACACAGCCTGCTTGTCCGGCTCAAAGGAGAGGATGTCATCCTATGGTGGGAGGGGAGAAGTCAAGTGTGGAAGGGATACCAGGGGTGGCAAAGCGAGCCCCAAGGCCAACATTCCTGAGCTTCCTCCTGCTTTTGGCTTAAGCCTTTGGTCACTGACCTGTAGCGTGTACCAGAAGGTGAGTGTCAAGGAACTGGTGGTTTCATTGACAGGATAGTGCCCAGGGATGCCCGTGCAGAACATGATCATGTTGACCAGGGCTAAGAAGCTCTGCCAGTGCTCCACCTGGTCCAGCAGTGCCCTGGGGAGCAGAGAGCACGGTCACACCAGCACTGCAGGTGTGGTGATACACCACGGGCAGAGGAACAGCACTCACCTGGAGTGGTTCTCCCCCAGGGCCACAGCGATGCGGCAGATCCCGTGCGACGTCTCCATGTCCCCGCTCTGGACCGCCTGGCGCAGCTGCTCCTGCAGCCCCAGCACTGGGGGGATGAGCTTCAGGAGGGTGTTCACATACCTGCAAGCACAGCCTGATCAGTGCCAGGTGTTGTCTGTACCAGCAGCATCCACCCCGCCTGACAACTCCGAGAGCTCCCAGCCACAAAGCTGCATTGTGGAGCAGGACACATCCGTGAGGCTTTACTGCTCCACGACCTCTTCTTCCAACTGGTGGCATGGCTGGGAGAAGACCAGCAGCTGAAGCTCCTTGAGCCTTTGTAATCACTCCGCATCACTTCTGCCATCACTCTGCATTAGCCCCGTGCAAATCCTCCATCACACGAAGGCTCCACGACACTCCTCTCAGCACACCTGGGCCAGCAGTGGTTTGTCACTGCCGCCATCAGCTCCTTGGGCAGCTCTTTGGGTTTGTCACCTCCGTGCTCACATCCAGAGCTGCCACTGGGAACCTGTGTGACCCCAGCAGGGGCTCCTCCTGCTGCAGGATCCATGCCAGCCCCACCGCATGGCCCCAGCCCCCTCTACTGGCTGCATCCCACAGGGCTCCCCTGATCTCCCTTTCCAGGCAGCCTCGCTCACATCAGCCTCCCCTCCTAAGCGATTGTAACCAAGGCAACGAGCAAGGAGGCAGGGAAGGTGAAACGCAGCCCAGGGCCCCCGGAGAGCGGCTGTGCTGGAGGCTCATCAGCCGGCTGTCAGTTACCTGCCCGGCGAGGCGTGTTATCTGGAGCTGCAGCTCCCTGCCGCACAGGGGCGAGGCTGCAGGGAGCAGGAGGCACTTGCAGTGCCAGCCCTCCCCTGGGGAGCACGCAGCTGATGGCACTAAGAGCTGCACGTCCATCCCACTGCAGCAGGCTGTCCTTGTTCCTGCCGCTCATTAGCAGTAAATGGATCTATCAGCTGCCACCGGCAGAGGGACAAAGCCATGCTGGCGGCAGCGGCTCACAGCTCTGGGCCAGCAGAAGATGCAAGAACATCTCCACCGGAGCTCCTGCACTGGGCTGTACTGCGAGGGCCACCTCCTCCTTCTCTGCCCCCCTCCTCCTGGAAAAAGCTCCTGGGGAAGGGCTGCTGAAGCATTAATCAATTCCAGGTCTCTGGAGCACTGTGAATGACGTACACAGCAGTGCAGGAACACAGTGCTATGGTGCGGATGGAGAACATGTCAGTCACACAGTGACATCTCCTTACCTATTCCCCTTCCCCTCCTGCCATCTGTGTAGTTCTCCTGTGCAAGATTTGCTATCTTTGTATTTAGCAGCTGAACTGATATTTATGTGAGTCTGCCCGGTCATTTCCCAAACCTGTGCTTCCTCTCTGGGACCAGCAACTCCTGCTCTTCCCACAACCCTCCCCAACCCTTATCAGAGAGAGACCACAGCACGGTGCATGGGGAAAAGCCCCTGTGACCAGCTGAGGGGAGACATGGGCAGCTCATGTGGAACAACCTGATTCCTCATGACCCAAATCTAAGCCAAGTCCTCACCAAAAAAAAAAACCCAAAAAAGCCACAACCTATTATGCATCTGCTTCTAATGAGGCTCTCAGAAAGCTCTTACAGTGAAATCCCTCTGTAGGGGTCCAGTGCCAGACGCTGAGCAGCACTCTGCTTCTTTCAGGTGGTGCTTGGTGCTCCACAACTTACCCCCTCCATTAAGCCCCCTCCCCACTCTCCACCACCACCCAGTGTTGCAGCTCTGCTCCAGCATGTGCAGCCCGGCTCTCTGACCCGCTTAGCCTGAGGATAATCTTCAAATGAGACAGAAAATCCAGCCCAAGTCTCTTCTGCCAAAGAGATGCAACAAAACCTTGGTGCCTGCCCATCTGTGACTCAAGAGCCCTACTGCTCCAGAAAGCAATAGTGTGCATCAAGGGCCTGCAACTGCCAGCTTCCAGTGCATCCCAACAGAAGGACAGCATCCAGCCTTGGAACAAACACCCTGTAGGCCGGGAAACAAATCTTGTCCTCCTTTTGCAGGAGCACAACAGGGGAATTCAGGGACAAACCCAAAGCACAGGCTGGGTGGCAGGGGGCAAGGCAGCAGGACGGCATCAAGAATGCTCTGTGAGGCAGGGAGCAGGCAAAAGACTGGGGAGGAAGAGAGCAGCTGAAAAGCAGCGTGAGCCTCTGAGACTGTCAAGAAAAGAGAGAGAAAGGTCGGGAGCCTCCCTCGGGGGCTTCAGGAGGAGCTGGATATGTTGTAGCTGAGCAACAAAGGCAGAAGGCGGGACTGCTGGCACGGGGGTGAGCTCAGGAGAAATGCAGGGTCCCTGCCCCTGGCTCTCTCTTGAAAAGACACCCAGGACCTCAGCAGGGAGCAGAGCCCTGCTCCAGCCAGCCCCCCCGCAGCCAATGTCCCCACTGATGCAGCCAGCCGCGCCACACGCTGCCTGGCAGGGCAGCTTGGTGACAATGGCCCCACTGTCCCCATATTCAGAGAGGGGGGAGCTCTGCCATCAGTGACACAGCTGCCTGGAGGGAGGACAGGATGAAGTGGTGGGGTGAGCGCCCGACACAGAGCAATGCATCAAAATCCTCTTTGCACAATGACACTGGTCATGACCAGTAGCAGCACCTCTACCACTGCAGAGCACACCTCCATGGATGCCAGAGGCAGTCAGCCAAGGCAAGGATCAGTGCCGGCATTTGCAGCAGCATCCGCACCGCCGCAGAGGGTTGGAGTCTGCGTGATGCAACACTCAGCACAGCTTCAGCTAAGCCCTCCTCTTGGCAGGGATGGAAAAGGTTGCTAAGCAGCCAGGAGATGTGGCCGAGGGAGCAGGAAGAGATGCACTTTCTCTTCTATGGGCATCGGTCCTAGGAGCCAACAGCAACTTGGATAATGTAGCCAAGCCAACGAGCTCAGAGTCCCACTGCACTGAGCTGAAGGACCACCTCTGGGCAACCACAAAGGCTGAGCACACAGCTGGACTGAGCTGCTGGAGTCAGAGATAGGGAGAAGACAGCCAGGTATGGTTTTATTATCTCTGCATCAGATATGCTCCTTGGTTGAACTTGAAGCACAAGACAGAGAAGCATCTCTGGCTGCAGCCAGGGCAGCCGCCCCCACATCAGGGCCACAGAGCCCAGCACAAGGAGCCAGAGAAACAAGCATGCCTGCTGGAGAGGGGCTGTGACTGCGCCCTTACTGCTTGAAGGAGGGCTGGGGATCCTGGGTGCTGCTGCTCAAACCTGGTACAAGCAGTGCTCAAATCACATGTTCTGGTCCCCACAGCATGCCAGGCAACCTGTGAGCAGCACCGCTATACTGGCCCAGCCCATACCCCTGGGAAATCTCTCTACCATGGTGGGCAGGAGCAATAACATGTAAAACACAAAGATGCCCACTAGTCAGCTGTGGTGCAAAGCCTTGCAGCACCAACCATGTGAGACCAGCAGAATACAGTTGCTTATAACCTCTCCCTCTTCCAAACCATCATTATCTCCAGGGCCAACAGTAGCTAGAAAATGACTGAGGTTTCTCCTACCTATTCCATTCCCCTGTAGATGCCCGGGAGCAGCATGTAGGAGGAGCTGCCCTTACCTCTGGGCATCCGGCTGGGAAATGGCATTGACAACCGCCTCTACCGCTGTATCAAAGAGCTCCGGGTCCTGCAGGGAGGTGAAAGCTGCTTGGATCAGGTTCTCGCAGTCCATCAGAGGGATCTCCAGCTGGACCCAGCTGGAGAAGCACTTCAACACCTTCTGCTTGATGAAGCCCGGAGAGTCCTGCTGCTGCAGCAGCTGCTCCAGCAAGGGGAAGACGGAGCCACACTCCTGCGCCAGGACGCTGCGCACCTGGCCCTTGCGGTACTGGGGAAGCCGGCTGGTTTGGAACTCCTCAGGCAGCACCGTCAGCAGCTCCAGCAGCGCCAGGCAGCGTGCCCGCCCGTCCACGTTGGAGTCCTCGGCCTGGAACATGCGCACCATGTCGGCCACGGCACAGGGCCAGGCCTCGGGCATCATGCTGAGCGCCAGCGAGGCCAGTGCCACGCACAGCCTGGTCAGCACGATCTTGGAGCCACCGGCGAAGCGAGTGATGTGGGTGAAGAGCTGGGACTTGAGGCTCTCGTACTGGTCGGCCGGGATGTCGTTCCAGTAGCGGGAGATCTTGATGTGCAGGGCGCTGGCGCCAAAGTACTGGATCTCGGGCACCTTGTCCATGTTGAGGAGCAGCCAGCTGAAGTGCCAGGCCTGTGGGGACACCTGCGCCTGCATCAGCCATTTTTGAGCCAAGTTCTTGTTCTCGATGTTGGGGTCGTAGTACAGCTGGTGGAGAGCCTGGAAGAGAGAGCGAGCACCTCAGGACAGCCAAGGAGCATGGCCCTGTCCTGGGCCCAGAGGAGAACAAGGACAGGGCAGCCATTAGCCCACCACAAGGCTGGGTGGAGAGAAGACCCACAGCAGCAGGACCCACAGAATGTCCTCCCTTCCTTCCCACTCTGGAAATTTCTCTTCATGAGACATCTTCCATCCTCTCCTTCACCCTGCTGGGGCTGCCAGGGGGTGCCTGTGCTAGGCCAGCCCAGAAGCCACACAGCAATGGTGGCCAAGCCCTCCTTGCCTCTGCCAACACAAGCAGCTGCAGCACCACTGCCGAAGTTTCAGTCTGTCAGGTTTTATGCAGGCCTGGAAAACCACAGTCAATAAGCTCAGGGATTAATCTCTGCTCCAAGTCCCTTTGAAGTGCTCCCAAGCCCGCCCAGCCACAGCTGAGCCGGGAGCTGGCATCAAACCCTATAGCTGCCACCTGGGATGGTCTGAGGCTGCTCACTCAGCTTCCCTGCATGGAAGAGAACAGCACTTACCAGTGAGAGATCTAGTTATGGCTTTGCAGAGCTCAGTGATTCACATGCATAACCCTGCATCAGCCACGAGGCTTTATTCTCAGAGGACCATCCTACAGAGAGGGCAGGATGGGCACAAAGGAGCAAGGAGAATGGTGCATGGCTTGGAGCAGAAGAGCACTCCTCTACACAGCTCTGCAAAAACCAGGAAGAGATGTCTCTGCCCAGCATCACCACAGCACAGCACAGTCCCACCTCGCTCCTCCAGTAGCAGGACCCAAGGGACAGAAGTCAGGCAGTGCCACCACAAGGACCAGCACATGAAGGGAGCAGAAACCACACCTCACAGAACTCCATCTTCTAGCAGTGAGCTCTCCTGCTCAGCACAGCACTGCTCAATTCAAATCATCAGCTGCACGTCCCAGGAGCATGGAGCAGGGATGGCACTCATCAGGATACCATGCACCTAATATAAGCCAGGGCATGAGTTCAGCAGGTGGAGAGGATTTCTGGTAGCCCCATCCTGGCTCCAGATCTCAAATATCCTCCTCCTCCCCCTTTGAAAGCTCTCTCAAATTCTTGTGTGGTTCTTGTACCCAGGAGAGGATTTAAGCCCTATTTTTAAGCATGCAAAGCTGGCAGCCTAGGGCACAAGAACACGCTTCCTAAGCGAGTGCTTGTACCTCATGCTGCTTCCCAGCACAAGAGCACAGAGCATGACAAAATGGCAGGAGCACTGCAGAAAGGCACTGCCTGGGACACTGTGAAACATCTCTTTTTAAGACTAGGAGGGGGAAAATGAGGACAACCTCTTCATGAGAAAGCAGAAGAATAGTCTGGAGGACAAGGCCAGCCATTGGCAGCAGTGCCCCCCATCACAGAAACAACTCACCTTATTACCAAGCAGGACCTGCAGACATGCTAAAAGTTCAGCTGCTTTTGGGGCCAGGAACCTGGCCCCCATCTACACATAAGCCAGCATCCTGCTCCCCCGCTGCAGCCTGAATCATCCTGCAGCAGGGCTCCACTCCCAACCATCTCCTCCTCACATTATCTTTGTCTTGTTTGCTTTGTCAAAGCTTGCTAGCTTGCTTCCCAGCAACCTCACTTGAGACTCACAGAGACATTACATTAGGAGGTACAACTTGCAGCCGTGCCTCATGGACCTCCAATTCAGTACGAGGCTTCAAAGCATGCAACATGTTAATTATTCAGACTGTGAAGGGTGTCATGCTGCAAGCTGCTGGAGGGCAGAAGAATATTCTGGAAGAACATCCCTGCTGGCTTCCTCACTTCCTCCTCTTGTCCCCGAGCATCCTTATACAGACAGGAGGCAGTGTGGTGGCTCACCTGGGTGGCCTCTGGCTTAGGATGCCCCCCTGTATGCTCTGTGGGGCTCTGCATAGTGCAAGGAAACCCCCAGAGGATCCTCGAGGATGGGCGTAAAGACTAAAATCATGCTCTGCAGGAGGCATCTGAACATGAAGCATGCTCATCCCCAGCAAAAAAAGGCAGAGACCTCCTTCTGCAGCAGCTTTTGGCACCAGCTGCTGCTTGACTTGCACTCCAGACATCACTGTGCCAGCCAGCACTCAAGCCCATAAGGAAGCACTGAAGATGACGAAGGGAACTCAGTGCCAGGAGAGAGAAGCAGAAGGCATGAAATTGGGCAGCGACAGCTAATGGGAAGGCTTTGTGCATTCTGATTTGGAAGCTTGGCTGACACCAGACCTGCCTTTTCTGCAATTAGACCTGTAACATGAGACCTGGTAAACAGTCAGGCTGTCAGCTCTGCCCTTTGGCCAGAGAATGAGCTTTCTCCAACACCATCTCTGCCTGGCTGAAAATAATTCAGGCTTGTTATTATGGGCCCTCCCTGCTCTAAAAAGCAGTGGTCAGAGCCTTGTTGGACTCCAGCTCCCAGAGTGGTGTCAGCCATCGGAGAAGCTTGCCCACAGCATCACAGCTCCCGCTTGGTCCCTCTGGGAGGCACGGTGGGGAGCAGCCTGAGCATTGCTCCTGCCAAGCACAGACAATGGATATCAGCTCACACCGTGGCACCAGCAAGGAAGAGAAGCTGCAGCAGCTGCTCCAAGCCCAGCACCAGTGTAGGCCCAAGCAGAGCACAGAAACAGCATGTTGCCCTGTAAGTTCAGAGTGCCAAATGAAAACAGGCTCTCACCAGGAGCCGGTGCCCAGCAGAGAGGTGCCATCAGCACCATGTGCAGGATGCCAGGATCCCATGAACCGAGTGTGCCGCCTGCTGCTCCCCTGCAGAGACACTGCATCTCCAGAGGCTGATTTGCTGCCAGCAGAGGTAACCAAGCAATGCAAACAGCCCATGCACATGCTCGGTGTCCAGCACCCAGGGCAGCATCATCATTTCTTAGCCTCCTCCAGCCGCGGTGCTTCCCTCTGCAGCCTCTCGCCCTGCTTTCCAGCCATACACTCGCTCCAGGCCTGCAGCAGCACAGCCATTACTCTGTCGCTGCCGAGCGCAGGGAACATCAGCCCGCCTCCCCCCGCACAGCCGCCATCCTCCCCCCAAAATGGCAGGGGAGCCTGAGCAGAAAGCAGCCGCCTGCTGAAGCATGGAGGATAACAGATAGGAAATAAAGCCATGTGTGTTCCTCCCTCCCAGTATAAACGTGCTGCTGCTTTGGCCGCTCTTTACCCCCAGCCTGGCAGAAGAGGCGATGCTGCAGCCTCAAAGCAGTCTGGGCTGTCCTCCTGCTGCTTAGTGGCAGTTATCTCCTTGCAGAGAGCAGTGCGGTCCCCAGCCCAGATACAGATACATGGCAGCCCTGAGCTCACCCTGCTCTGTGCAAAACCCCAGGGCAGCTGCCACCGCCAGCAGTAGTGGGGCCTTGAGGTTGCACGAGCAATGGCTGATCAGCGCTTGGAAAGAGACTCAGAATGCAGAGTCAAGGTTGAGCTGCGAGGATGGACTCCGTTCTTCACTTCTTAGCTCTTCTCACTGCCCCAGGAACCAGCTCATAAGCACTTAGAGAGGCTCCCAGTCCCTGTGCCACCCCTGCACTGCAGGTCACTGACTACCAGAAGCTCTGTGATAGTGAAGCACAACACAGCAGAGCGGTGGAAAGCACAGTGTGCCTCTGTTTGCCCAACATCATGGCACAGGAAGGAGCAAAGTGTTCAGTCAGGGTTGGTTCTGAGGGGAACCTACTGTCTGCAGCAAAGATCTGCTTTCACAGCCAACAATATGACTCCTTTCTTCCTTCAATTTTACAGGAACGTTCTCCCTTCAGCCCCTAACATCCTCACAGGCACTGCTGCCCCATCAGCCTCAGCATCTCCCAGGGGCAGCCACAAGAGCCACCCCTGGGCACAGGGGCCATGTCACCTTCTGCCTATGGCAGGATGCCACGCACCATGGGGACCTGGAGATGCTCTGACTTCTGCCATGGGAGCTCACCCACCCCTCACCCCGCTCCCACCCCAGTGCTCACAGCGCCTGACTCAGCGCCGAGCCAAACCCTGACTTTAATCACTATTCAGTGTTATTAATAGAGCCGTGCACAAAATCTGAGAGGCAGAGAAGCCCAGGCCGGCAGAACATCATTTATTTGTCAGTACCAACTCTGACAACGCGGCTCTGCCCACCACCCTCCCACCAGCCCAGCCCCCAGCAAGAGCCCAATTCTGCCCTATTTGTACAAGAACTCCCCACCTGAAATGACACAGGGAGGGCTCCTTGGCGCTCGGCCTCTGCGTTCCTACTGCTCCCACCCTGCATTTTTCTCTCTCCATCCCCACGACCAACAGCTGCATCTCCTGCAGATGTCAAGGCGATGGCAAAGCTGAGGCTGTGAGGGCTCAGGAAGGGGGATGGGAGCAGAGCATCCTAGAGGGCATATCTGCCCGCTCCCATGCCTCGCTGCCCCCCGGCACTGCCCACCCTCCCGTGCCAGTGCAGACAAAGGCGCAGTCAGTGCCTGCTGAAGCAGAGGGAGGTTGGAGGCAAAACGATCCTGCAGCCCTGCCTGCACACGGATTAAGCCACAGAACGTAGCATTATTGTGGCGTTTTGCACACAGGGGCTAATGCTTGGGGCTGAGCTCTGTGTTGCTAGCAGGGGGCTGCGGGCTGTGACACCTGCAGCCACAAAGGCAGACGGCACCCGGCACCGGTGTGACACATCCCCAGGCCAGCAGCGATGGGGCCAGCCCCTGTGATGCTCCCACCGCCGTGCCGCGGGCAGCGTTTTGGCAGGAAGCTCCGTTCCCATGAAGGCAAAACCAGGGCTCCGGGATTGCCTCGCGCTGCCCGGGGACCCGCAGAGGGTCGAGACGCTGGGCGCCCATAAAGCTGGGGAGCTGCGGGGGGCTGCGCTCCTCACTGCGCGCCCTTCACCGCTACGCCCTCAGCCTCCATCACTCCCAGCATCGCCCAAGGGAAGCCTTTCCTCCCCGGGCGCCCTGTTCGGTCCCCAGACAGATTCGGGTTCCCAGCAGCCTCCCGCATCCCCAGTCTCAGCGGCCCCGGTCTCTCTGGGAGCAGCGCAGCCGCAGCGGGGCCGCACGGAGCGGGGTTCGGATGGCACCACCGCGCCTCGCACCCTCCGAGAGCTCTCCCCCACCAACCCGCGCTCCAGCCCCAAAGGATGCTCGGCACAGCCCTGCCTCCCGCTCCCATTTCTGCCTCATCATCTCCCTCCCTCGGGCAGCGGGCACGGCGCGCACCGCCCCGCCGCGGCCACACCGCGGCGGGAAACCGACATCGGTGACAGCGTCACCGCGCCGCACCCGATCCGCCGCCCCCAGCCCCGCGCTCACCTTTTCCACGTTCTCCACGGTGAAGTCGAGGCCCTGCGGCGGCGGCGGCGGCGCCTCCGCCCTCCGCTCCATGGCTGCGGCAGCGGGCGCAGGGCAGCAGCGCTCCCCGCCTCCCTCCGTCCGTCCGTCCGCCCGTCCCGCCGCTCCGCCCCGCCCCGCAGCCCGCCCCGCCGCACCGCACGCCGGGAGCGGTAGTCCCGGCCCCGCGCTCCGCCCCGCCGCGGGATACGCGCAGCCCGGCAAAGCGGGGTGGGCCGTGCGGCCCATCGCTTTATTGCTACAGGAAAAGGCGGCTGTACAAAAATAGAGTTTATCCTCCCGTTTTTTTGTTTTTGTTTTTTTAAAAACAAATAATAGAAAAACCAAACCAAAACAAAAAACGCTGCGGGCACGAGGAGCCCAAGGCCGGGGCTTCGCATCAGCGCTGGGGTTGCATTACATCCGGCCCCGCGGGCCCAAAGTCATAAATAGGAGCTGCCGCTCGAGAACAATAAATAAATAACTTAGAGCAATAAATAGTTGAGTGCCACAGCGCCGCGGGGACCCTTGGAGCCGGGCAGGGACCCAGGGCTGGGGTTGGGTGTTGCCCCATGCTGCTGCATGTTGGCCCATGTTCTCAGGGAGAGCCCCCCTGGGTGCCCCCTCCTGCCCTACTCCTGTCCCCTCCGATGCTCGCGGAGATGTGAGAGCAGCAGTCCGGCACAGGGATGCTCCATCCCCTCCATCTCTCCCAGGTTGGGGTGCACCCCCTGGCTCTCTGCTTGGCACTGAGCGGAGGAGCTCAGTTGCAGAACCGCCCCTCCTTAACAGCCACATCACCTCGGTCCCTCGTGGCCATATCACATCGGGACCAGCGTTCTGCCTCCCTCCAGGCTGGGGATCGGCAGCATGCGTCGAGCCGAGGCTGAGCCGGCAGCTCCCCATCAACCGATGCAGCTGCACTCGGCCGCCGAGAGCTTCTCCACCGTCTGCCACGTGTTCTGCACATCCATGAAGGACACGGCCTCGTAGCGCGTGGGCCGGCAGCAGGGGTGGCTGAGCACGCGCTCCTGCGGCCCCGGCACAATGAGCTGCTGCCGCAGCAGGCTGCCCAGCGTCAGGTCGTAGTTGCTGCGCGCCCGGTGGCACGACCCGCTGCAGTACTTGAAGAGCACGATCTCGTCCGAGTTGAAGCCCAGCCCCAGGTCGCGCACCTTCACCATCAGGTTGCGGATGTGGCAGTTGCGCCCGCGGGCGCCACGCGAAGGTTTCCTCTGTCCCTTCTTGGCTTTGCCGGTGCCTGGTGGCGAGCGCTCAGCACGAAGCAACAGGTCCTCTGCCAGCTCCACGCCACCCGGGGCTCCTGTCGTCACGTTGTCACCTGCAGGCCAGCAGGACAGCACTGTCAGCTCCTGCACTCCCAGCACCACTGAGCCTCCCATCCCCTACGGTGACCACCTGTGCTCAGGCCACCGTGCCCAGGATGGACATGCTACCGTGCCCAAGCCCCGCAGTGGCTGTCCCCAACACGCACCGTGCGGCTGGCTCCAGGTGAGTGGTACCTCCACGCCATCCTCCACGCTGGCAGTGGCCGTGCCCCGCGGTGTGGGGGCTGCATCCAACGTCTTGTTGCAGTGCGGGGTTCGCACGGTGCCTGCCGCCAGCCCGGCCAGCAGTGACAGGATGGCGAGGACCCCCCAGAGCATCCCCTCCTGCAATACAGCAGAGCGTGGTGGGGTGAGTGCCGGCCTCAAGGATGGAGACGGGAGCGGGGAGTCCCGACCACCATGGGCAGCCAGGCGTGGGCTCACCTTGGGCTGTGGATGTGTGCTGGGTCCTGCAGGTCTTGGCTTTGGTGGTCCTGCTTGCTGCTCCATGCTGGCTGCAAGCAAAGTGTGTCAGTGTCAGTGCAGTGGGAATGGAGTGGACGCTGGTACACCCACCCCTGCCCACCCAGATACTGGTGGCATCCCAGAGAGGCCATTGAGCCGGCCCAGCAGCTGGCACACCTTTGTTCTACCAAGCGTGCCATCCCTTCCCTCATCTCCCAGTGCCCCATGGCTACACACCCACATCCCCTGTGCATCTCTCCTCAGGGATGCTGGCAGAAGGGCCTTTGCCCAGTACCTCTCCCTGGGAGGATGCAGACTGGCTCCTCACATGAGCAGCCCAGGATGCCAAGCTGTGCTGTAAGGCAGTGGCTGGGAGTGCCATAGAGGGGGGGCCCTTTTCCCAGGGCTCTTCCCTGGGAATGTTTTTCTTCCTGGCAGTGGGAGCTTGACCCTGGGAGCTCCAAATCCATTAGCACAGAGTCCCCTGGTACCAGAGCCACCCCCAAGCCCCATGCTGCCTTCTTGCCATGCTGTCTGGAAGCTGAGGCACACAGCCCCAAGCAGCGCAGCTGAAGGGTGGGATGATTGGGTCCCTTGGGGACACAGCACTTCAGCACACTGCTCTCTCCAAGGCCATTTCAGCCCTGTGCTCCCACCCACTGCCTGCTGACCCCACTACACAAGGACAGGGCTGTCCCCTTGAAGCTCGTTGGCATCCTGCAACAAGGGCTTCCCCTTGGCTTTCTCCCCGGTGTTCTGTGGTGGAGAAGCATTGGGATGGGACATGCTGCAGAGAGCGTTGCTGGCCTAAGGATGGGTAGAAGCAGCCAGGGCGCTACCGGGGTGGGGAGACAAACTCCCCAACCCCATGAGGAGATGCTCATCAGGCTCCAGGCCCCGTTGCTGCATGGGTGGCACTGAGCCGTGCCATGCTGAGGGGCTGCCATGGGCACTGCCAGGCCTCCAACCCACTCTGGGGTCCGAGCACCGGGCAGGGCTGGCAGCAGGCCCCCTCTGTAGCCGCAGCCTGGCCAAGCACGACCCACGCAGAACATTGCTCCCATGGCGGCCCGTGGCCCCTTGCCAGCCACTGCTGCCAGGTCATGGTTTTCCCAGGCCGGCGCCCCCAGAGGGGCCATGCGAGGGTCCCGTGGCCCCGTCGGGAGGAACCTGGGCCCCCGTCCCTGTCCTGCCGCCCCGCCGAGGCCCCTCGGCCCCAGCAGCACATCGGCACGGGACGGGGGCCCTCGCAGGCGGCGGGCCCGGAGCCAGGCGGTGACACAGCCTTGGGGCCCACGGTGCGGGGCTGCCGTCCCTTCGGCCCCGGCCCGGCCCGGGCACCACCCGCCCCGTCGGGAGCGGAGCACCGCCGGAGATGTAAAGCGCTCTGCCGCCCCGGTCCGAGCGGGAGCATCTGCCCCGGGAGAGGGAACGGGCGTGCGGCGGAGCCGGGCTGCAGTTCAGGCTTCTGCCATCCGGCGGCAGCACGGCCTCGAAATCCGCCGAACGGAGCGGGAGAGAGAAGGTCGCTCCTCTCGGCGGCCCGCGTTGGCTCCGCACTCTCGTGAGGAGCGCGGGCAGGGCTCAGCCGGGCTCCTGGGCAGCGCAAAAGGATGGCAGCCCCGCAGCCCCGGCTGTCTGACGGCAGACTGGGTGGGAGCTGCCTCCGGCACGGCTGGAAGAGCCCCGGCCGCTAATGGGTTCCGCAGCTCTTCCCAGGTCGGGATCAGAGCGATCCAAGCGAGGATGCACACTCGTTCGGTTCACGTTGTCCCCTCCAACACGCATCCCACCCCCGGGGCTGCGCACCTCTCGCCGCCCACGCCGGGGAGCCCCAGAGCCGGGAGCGCGCGTACCGGCATCCCGGGGGCTGCTCGGGGCCGTGCATAACGCCGGGTCTCCTAGTAGTGCTCTAAGACCTCCTCGGGCACCTGCGGGCACCACCTCACTGTCCAGAGCAGGACTTACAAGGGGTCGTCCACAGGTGACGCGCGGCTGGCACCTGTCCACAGGTCCGGAGGAGACAGGGGCCGGACACGTGGGACCACGAGCCCCGTGGAAGCGGACCCTCCGACCCTCCGACCCGCGGGCAGCGCCGGGCCCTGCGTCCCGGTGCTCCCACCGGCACTACGGGACGCGCGGTCACAGCGGGAGCTGCCCCACTCCGTGACCGCACGCCGGAACCGGCTGACCCCAGGTTGCCCGATGTGCCCAGCGGGCTGAGACCGGCCCCGTGTCCCGGCCACTCGCAGAGGGGTCCCGGCCTCTCCCCGGCCCGGGCACGGAGCCCCGTTCCCCTCCGCGGCTCCCGAGCGCCTCTTGCCGCGGGGCCGGGGATCGGTCAGCTGCGGGAGCCGTCCGGCCGGGACCTGCCCGGAGGTCCGGGCCCCTCTCGCCTCTCCGCGGGTTTTACCGGTCGGGGCGGGCGGCAGAGCGGCTCCCCCCCATCCCCACCCTCCCTCCGCCCCGGTGTTCCCGCAGCGCCGCTGCCGGCAGGCTGGGACGGACGCTGCCGCCCGCCCCCCGGCCCGCACTCACCGTGCCCGCGGCGGGGACCATCCCCCGGGCCGCCGCCGCCCCGCATCGCCTCCGCTCCCCCCCGCCCCCCCCCCGCCCCGGCGCGGCGGCGGCGGGCGGCGGGGG